GGGGGGTGGGGGGGAGTGCGCGCGTGAGAGCGAGCAAGCCAGCCACTAGGTCTGGGACTTGAACTACAGTTGGCCATGTGAGAGTCCAGCGCTTCAACCCACTAGGTGCCTACTGCCCCCCATAATTCACTTTTTAAATGTTGGTAGTTAGCTCTTCTGCCATCTTATAGCACTACCAGAGAGTTATGCCAATGTATAGTATATGTTCTAAAAAATAAGACTATACTTTGAGTAATTTTTCTAACTTAGGTGAGCATATCCAAATGTTGATGCCTGCCTGTTAGACTATCACTGGAAGATGCCATAGAGTGTTAGAATTAGGGGGTTTCCAAGCCTGACATGATAAGAGCAACTTTTCCCAGGCAGGAAACACCAACTACAATGGAATTACAGACATGCCATTTGGACTGCTATAAAACCTTTTTTTTATTTATTTAAAGTATTGAATATTTCTACTCTAAGCACTAGTCAAGTTCAAAACTACTGTACTTCAAATAAACTATTTTTGGACTGGTGGTAGCCAGGAAAAGTTTTCATTTTATCTAACTGCATTTGTTTCCTCAAAGGCAAAATTCTCAAAGTTCCATATTCACAAAAGTGATTTGGTAAGGAATCTTGCTGAAAAAATACACCCTACATTCGATCTTTTGAGTCCACCAAAAAGTTCAAGCAAAACTAATAATAAAGTTTTAGATTTATCTCTCCAATGTAACTTTTTGTGATCCTACTATGATGTTAAATTAAACTCTAGGTTATAAAAATATAAATAATCTATACAGAAACACTTTGTATTCAAAGCAGATGGGGGAAGATGATTGGTTCTCCAGATTATCAACATCACCTTGACGGCAATCATTTATTCGGCTCCCCATAATCAAGTTGCAAATAATTTGAAGAGACAATTACTCGTTGGAATAAAAAAAAAATAGAAAACTTGAATTTCCCACGTACACACACACCGCTCCCCCCAAAATAGCATAATTCAGTGGTATAGGAGCACTGCCTCCAGTGTCAATAAAAACTCACAGAGATCAACTTATCTGGTCACTACAGTGGTAGTGTTTTATTGTTTCCTTAGAAAGTAGCACTCAAAGTCCCTTTTGAAGAAGGACTACTGAGACTGCTAGACCAGAAAAAAAAAAAAAAGTTTTCATAGTTTAAAAAAATACAAAGTCTGGATGACTGAATTCAAGAAACACAATTTTTAACATGTCTTCGATGTGACAAAAGGATAAATATTCAGCAATAAAAGAAGATGTTGACACCTATCCTTATTTAGCCAATATTTATTTAGGGTGTGATAACATCAAAATAATGCAGTCCTTGATAACTGTTAATGGCTGCTAATCTGCAGATGCTAAACACTGTCAGTTCAAATCTCTGATAACGACAGCATAACTTCTTTTAATCAACTGAGTTAGTGTGGAAATGAAACACTTTATAATTAATTGAAAGTTGCTGTCTTTATCATGCTAATAACTATACTGTACACTATTACCCTTACAGAGTCCTCACTGTGCTTTAAGAAAATTTAACTTCATATAGTTTATCAAACCACTGAATAAGTCCACTGTGAAGCAGCCAGACAGACACAAAGTGAATTAACTAGTTTCATTATTCTTATAGGTCAAACCTGAAAAGGATATTATGTTAAAGGTAACTCGACATAATTCAACATTTACCTAAAAAAAGGCAAACAAGTGATTTGAAACTAAACAGTGATCAACTGATCACGGGAGGGGGGAATAATTTGTAATAGAGCTTAACTCAATTATAACGATACATTCCTTTGCCCAAGAATATACATACCCAGATTCCATCTGTACATTAGTATTTTCCACGTTTCCAATCCCCCCGGATATTCAATCACACTCTGAAAAGCAAACTTCTCTCACAAGCAAAAACCAGCAAGCATTTAATCCAACTGCTACAGAAATGCCAAAAAAAAAAAAAAAAAAAAAAAAAAAAAATCACCCCTTAAAATACATACACAGCTTTTAAGCACATCAAGTCAGTTGTCAATTGTTCCCTCTCACTGGAAGATTGTGGAAGCTGATGAAAATCTACCGCTCCAAAGTTTAATGAGCAAGATCAGCCCCACCCAAGCCAGACCCTGCTGGAGAAGGGCATGCTCAGTAGAAAAGCCCAGCTTGGTTCCAAGTCACTTCATTCCTCAGCTGGAAAATTCACATGGGTCAAAGAAAAAAGTCAAGCTTCCTACTGCCTGTTCTACTGACTAAAGGAGAAAAAAAAAAAAAGAAAAGGAAAAAGTTTTACTACTAACTGTAATGCTAATTTTTTAAATTCTACTATCACTGATCTTTTTCCTCATTTAGTTTTTGTGATTCTAATTTTTTTTCTTTGTGTCCCTATCCTTCAGCTTTGATTTTTTTTATTGTCACTTTAATCCATCCTACAAATAGATGCCAGTAGTATGTAACAGTCTAATCATATGTATAAACTACCATAAACTGATACTTATTTAGATATAGAAAAAGCATGCAAAACATAGTCCAGTTTTCAATACATAAAAATGAAATATTCATTTTGATTTATTCATATCACATTTTTTACCTTTTTTTTTTTGAGAGGTTTTTGATATGGGGTGCATACACTTGCTAGAAAGACAGACAGAGACAGAAAGCGAGAAATCACCGCCCAGGGGGGATGGCCACGCCGCAATTCCTTCTCCTCCATTCTCTCGGGATCTTGGGCGCACACACACACACACGCGCCCAGCGTGAGTTTAAGCCACCAGGTCTGGGACTCGAACAGCCATTGACTACATGGGAGTCCAACGACATGGCCATTATGCCATCTGCTGATCCCTCATATCACACACATTTTTTAAAAGGAAGCTGTTATCCTTCTTTTGTTAAGTTTGCTATAGGGTACATGCATTCAATGGAGGCAGACAGAGATAGGAAAAGTAAGAAACCCCTCAGGGAAATGGCCGTACTGCAATCCCTTCTCCGTTCTCCTCTCAGGATTTTGGGTACACATGGCCAGCATGTTTCTCAAGACGCCGAGTCCAGGACTTGAACCCCATGGGGGATACCCTTAACCACTATACCACAAGCTGGCCCTATGTAGTCAATCTGAAAATGAGCAATGACTGAAAATAGAATAATCCTAGAACCATCTGTCATATGAATACAAATACATATGGTAGCAAAATAAAGTCACCAAAATAATTCCAATGTGCCAATTCCAGTTCAAGTAAGAGCCATCTGAGAAATAACTAATTTTCCTTAACTCTACAATACCAACCTCCTCCTCCATTACATTTCCACAATTTAAATTCTGAGTTTTTTCCACCAATGTCCATTTTCACAGTAAGAATTCAGGTCTAAGAGAATGCCATTGTATCCACATGTGCATTTTATCAACTTCACCCTGCTACCAAATTGCTCTATTTAGCAGTCACTTAATGAATGACTAACCTTCTGTTCACATTCACCTACAACAAAGTCTTTTTGGGAAAATAAAAAAGGGTCTTTTTGTAATCACAAAGAAAACACTTGGAATATTTAAATAAACAAGAAGTCACCTGTACTAACTGGGAGAGAAAGGATAGGGTTTATTTTATGGGAAGACAGTAAAAGTGTTTCAGTAGCAGCTCTGAAGAGCGAACTCTCTAATGAACAAATACGAAACTTATTTTTAAAAAGTCATTCCATAGGATGAAAGTAAATTTCACCATCTATCACAAAGTTTTCACTGGTTCAGAAAAGGGCAATTTGGTGAACTTTTTAGTAAAACCAATTTTATTTAATTTGGAACATCATCCTTTATTTAGATTAAGTCTTTCCCATTTTTTACGTTAAATGTGTATTGCTTAATAAGCATCAGTAATACAACTGCAAATTTATTTCAATATACTTATTTGGAAAAACAACAATTCCAAACCTTTTTCTGTACTGCCTCTGGGAATCCCGCAATGAAATCTGAGAGCTATTGACATATAGCACTGGACCCAGTGAAGTCTTGACATTCCACCCCAAGCATTTTTTTTTTAATCACCCTTATGGTTCACCACCCTCTTCCTTCTCTTACTGCCCACCTACTGCTATGGACTTAACTGTGCTCCCTCTGAAGTTCATATGTTGAACATAACCCCCATTGTGATGACATTTGGAGATGAGGGCTCTGGAAAGTAATTAGGCTTAAATGAGGTCATGAGGGTGGGGCCCCCATGATGGAATTAGTGACCTCACAAAAAGAGATACCAAAGATTTGTGCACTCTCTCTTCTCTCTCCCTCTTTCTCTGACCCACCTCTCTACATCACATGAGAACACAGTGAGAAGGAGGCCAACTACCAGCCAGGAAAAGTCTTCATCAAAAACTCACCGTGCCACCTCCAACTTCTAGCCTCCAGAACTATGAGAAAGTAAACTTCTAGTGTTTAAGCTACCCATCTATGATATTTCACTATGGCAGCACAAGCTAAGATACCCATCTTTTTAACTATGGAATTCAGTGCTACTGCTCAGCTCCTCCTGCCTTCAAAACAAAAGAGGCTGGGGACCAGCAGTTAGCGTAATGGCTATGTCGCTGGACTCCCATGCAGTTGATCACGGTTCAAGTCCCAGACCCAGTAGCTTAAACTCATGCCGGGTGCATGTGTGTGCGTGCCCAAGATAGAGTAGAATGGAGAAGGGATTGCGGCGTGGCCATCTCTCCTGGGGGGTGATTTCTTGCTTTCTCTCTGTCTCTGTCTTTCTGGTGAGCGCACGTACCCTATAGCAAAAAAAAAAAAAAACCTCTCAAAAAAAAGAAAAAGAGGCTGCACAATAAATACATGAATCTCATTGTTCAAACAAAGGTTAAAAGAAATAAGATAGCGAGAAAGTTTTGTGACACCATGATTTGGAAACAGAACAATTAACATCTTAGGATAAAAAAAGACTGAGAACCCAGAGACAGTAAATGAATTCCTAGACCATATCTCCAGTAAGTAGAACAGCCAGAATTTACACTAATTTAGTCCGCTTTCAAAGCCAGTGGACTTTTTCACCAAGGCTATATTACCTCTAGCTTATCACCTTTGTTTTCCATATAAGAAAACTGAACTAAGAGAGGTAAAATTACTTACATAAAGTTACTCACCGAATTACTGACAGAAGTACACAAATCAGGTCCAGTGTCATTTATATTATTCATTTCCAGTAAGATTTTGTATGTACTTAAGTGTACATAATATACAGGCTGAAACATTTACAAATGTCTTAATATAAAAAATTATTAATATAAATTTACATCTATACAATTATTTTGGGAAAATCCCAAAAGAAATCATGTTGGTTGGGATTAGACTAGGGAATGCTTTTGCTATATTTATATATGTGAGTTATTTTAATCAAGTGTTATAATGTCTTGACTTACAAAAATTGTCCTACCATCTGCTACTCTGGAGGACAATGAATGAACTTAGTAAGATGTAGAGGATCCACTGATCTGATAGGTCACTCGTAGTCCAAAACCATAAACGACACTAGCTCTGCACAGAAAATACATGGGGACTGCAGAAAAGACGATGAGTAAGAGAGACAGAGTTCCTTCAGTATTCCCACCTCATTCTGAGACGCAATCATCATCTGCCCGGACCAAAAGAAAAATAAAGGGAGGAGGGGCAGAAGACACAATTTTCTGTCTTAACTCTAAAATAACCTAAAATATACACAGAAAGGAAAACATTTTTTTTTATTCTAGCAGTTTTACAGGGGATCCAATCTTCCCAGCCATCAACTGTGATGCAATACTATAATTTACAAACGAACATGGAGAAGTTTCATGGCTCTTCAACAAGCAAGAACTTCCACTGGTCTTTAACACAAAATTTATGAACATTTCTTTTAAAATGACCCAACTGGACCAGTGTCATTTTAATTCTCTCAGACAAGTACGCATGCCCTGTAGCAAAAACTTAAATACATATATATATTTATCACACACATATTACATATATCATGTATATTACATATATATTACATATATTCTATATATTACATATGTATAATTAATCTATCAGTCCAATTTATCTATTTCATCCTCAATTTGTGGAAGGAGAACTCTTTCCATACCATAACCCATTCCATAATGTCCCTTTTTTTCTCTTCTCTCTTTTAAAATAGACTCCACCATTCCATGAGGCACTATTGGAACTATATAAGTAACAAACATGTCATCGGAAGACTCCTATCAAGAAACATATTATATAAAGTTGAATACTGCTCCCCTGCAAGCTGGAGAAGTGTTCAAGTGTAAGTAATACATAGTGCTCAGCTACATTCCCAGGGCACTGGGGAGGTACCATCCCATCTGTGGCCCTCTCCTCACCGCATCTGCATCACCGTCTCCCTACTGCCTCATACCTGCAATCTGCAGTGTAGATGCTTATTTGAGAACTCGATGTACATCTGACCCTTCACAACTTCATCCACTCTCCATAATTTAAAACTATAGCTCTGGGGACCAGCAGAAAACATAATGCTTATGTCACTGGACTACCACACAGTAGCTCTGGGGACCAGCAGAAAGCATAATGGTTATGTCACTGGACTACCACACAGTTCAAGTCCCAGGCATATGTGCATGTGCACACAAGATCTCCAAGGAAAATGGAGAAGGGATGGTGGCGTGGCCATCCTACATGGACGTGATTTCTCGCTTTCTGTCTCTCTGATGAGCGCACACAGTCTATCGCAAAAATCTATTTTAAAAAAACCTACAGCTCTGCTCATTTTTCTGTAACTTCGTTTAAAAGTTTTTTTAAAAAATACTTAGTTCTCCAAACTTGAATTATGGAAGAAAACCCTAACCATATGTTCTCATCCACAACCGCACCCATCCAAAACAATATAAATGTCCAACATCAAGTCAGCATATTCATAATTAACTTTGCATAGGAGATCCTGATTGTGAGTCTGCACTTTGCATTTTGCTAAGATCCATTCATCCCATGAGAAGCTGTTGCTTGCTTGCTGATAGCTGAAGATACAAACCTGTGTAAAAAGTGGCTCCAGTACTTTGAGAGAAGAGTATTTGCATAAATATACTACAAAGAGAATAAGAGTTCTAATGTAGTCATAAACAATTTAACAGTAACTGATTTGATGAGAGAATTATGCTTCCTGGGGTGTCACTTGAGCTGACCTTGAAAGATAAGCAGCAGCTTGCCAGGCAGATTATAAGTGGGTCTAAGTACACTCCTCACCGTGGGAACAGTAAGTGAAAGGCACAAAACCCTGAAAGATAAATGTGTTGTAGAGAACGGTGAGTACTTTAGCTGTCTGGAACACAGGGTGGGGAGAAGAGTTCAGAAAGGGATGCAAGAGTCAAATACTATATGATCAGTACTCTAACTGCAGATGTGTTTATTCTATTCTGTAGGCAACGGACAATAATATTAACTTTGTATTTCTGGAGGATTACTTAGGCTGTCACTTGAGAACAAGTGACACAATGAAAGGAAACTGGTTAAGATGATGCTTGAGAAATAAGAGACACAGTGAAAGGAAACTGGTTAAGATGATGCTCCAGTAATCTAGACTAAGAGAGAGGGGTAAAGAAGACAAATGTGAAGAGATGGAGGCAATAGATATTGAGTGGGTAAAATGAACAAGATTTGATAACTAGATCATGGAAGTAATGGTGGGTCACGTTCCCTGGTTCCTGGCAGGGGAAAGGTTGGAGAAGGGTGCCATTAACCTAGAGAACAACTTCCCAGAAGAGTAGTAAACAGGAGATGAAGGAAGCAAACATTTCATTTGAAGGCATTTGGAGTGAAATGTTTATGCAACATCCAGGTGGAAATATCAGAAGGCTGATGAGAGCGGAATATCTGATGAGAGTGGTATGTCTGATGAGAGATGCTGGTTTCTGCACAAGATCTGGAACTGCTTAGTCAATCAGTGTTATCATAAGTGGATGAAAACCCCAAAAGAACAGAGTAGGAACTATGCTCAGAATAAATCTCCCTTCAGAAAGAACAAGAAACCTATTAAGGAGGTTGCAAAGGCTCAAAAGATGGCAGGGGCCAGCAGGTTACAGAGCGGTTACAACGCTGGACTCCCACATGCTGACCGCACTTCGAGTCCCAGACCCAGGGGCATGAAATTCATGCTGGATTCATGTGCGTGCATGCCTAAAATCTGGAGAGAGAACGGAGGAATAGAAATTGCAGTGAAGCCATTCCCTTCAGGGCATGATTTCTTGCTTTCTCTCTCTCCATTTCTGTCTGCCTCTCCAGCAAGCACACATGCTCCATAGCAAAAATCTCTCCAAGAGGAAAGAAAAAAAAGAGAAAGACATCAAACAACCAAGAAAGTACTGGCAAGAGGGAAGAGACAAGTTGAGGGGAGTCATCATGAAGGGTAAAGGCAGGCTGCCTTGAGTATCGATTAGGGTTAAAGAGTGTCATAAAATTGCTGGTAACCTCAAAGACAAGTTCTATCTCTAGTCAGAGAAAAAGCAAGTGGTTAAAGAAAAAAGATTCCGGTTCAACCATGGTAGCACATACTAGTAGATACTTCTATTCAGGAGGCTGAGGCCACAAGAGGCCTGGCTTTGATTCCTGGCTCCCCCTAAAAAGTCGAGGGCAGTGGCACGTGTCTGGGACTCCAGCTACTTAAGAGACAGGAGGATCACGACAAAATAAGACTCTGTTTTTTATTAAAACGCATACATATATCAAAGAGGGATGAGTAAAAGATAAGTATATGTTATCCTCTGAAATTAAACAGTAAAGAAAACCCAGGAGAAAGAGCAAGTAATAACTACAAAAAAGCCTAGCGCATACAACACATGTACAGGAGTCATCTGTATCATTGTGTGTGGTGCAGGCTTTTGCTGGGAGAGATGAAGAGGGGGGAGGTTCAAGACACACAGGAGAAAGAAAGGAAAATGAACAGCATGCACTTCAGATTAATGAAATGAATGAAAAAGAACCAAAATCACAGTCAAGGGCCACAGGTAGCACGGAGATTAAAGCACTGGATCCCACATGGCCAATGATGTGGTTCGAGTCCCGGATCCAGCAGCTTAAGACATCACACCAGACGAATGGGTGTGCTGCCCAAAATTCCAAGAGGAGAATGGAAAAGAAGGGATTGTGGTGTGACCACCCCCCTCTCAGGGGGAGGAGGCGATTTCTCACTTTCCCCCTCTCTGAGCTCTCTGGCAAGTGCACACACCCTATAGCAAAACTAAAAGAACACAGAAATGCGCTCAACTTTGGACAGAAGAAACACCTCCACCCAGAGACCAAAGTAATAGTAATAGTAAATATACATGGGTTGTGACAAGGAGTTTGTTTTGTTTTGTTTTTCATAATATGCATTTTCCAGTCATTTTTCTCTTATTTTCTATTTTTTTTTACACTTAATAACTATACTTTTTTTAAAATTAGGTTTTTGCCATAGGGTGTATGTGCTTTCTAAAGAGACAGAGAGAGGACAAGTGAGAACTCACCCCGCAGGAGGGATGTCCACACTGCAACCCCTTTTTCTCCATTCTCCTCCTGGGGTTTTGGGCACACATGCCTGGCGTGATTTTCAAGCCACTAATGTGAGACTCGAACCGCAGTCAGCCATGTGGGAGTGCAGTGCCTTAACCACTACACCACCTGCTCACTCCAATTACTGTACCTCTTTACAGCATGAATACACTGTATATTAGTCCATTCAAAGATATTACCATATACATTATTATCAACAGAGCATTTTCTACAAGACATAAAGGAGTTTGAAAAAGCTGGGAAGAGAGGAGAGATTTGAAGCTCTATTCTCCATATGAAATCATTTTGATAACTTTGGATCACTTAAGTGAAAAACTGAGAAGACAAAACTTTTGGGGAAGAAAAAAAACAACAACACATGGTCAACCTCCCAGAATATATTTGGTGATCATTCCCCTAGCATTTATGTAAAAGCTGGTTAGGTTACACATATTCAATGTGAGAAGCCATTGATGTTTTAAACTTTTCAAATTCAAGGATCCCCTGTGTAACTTCCTATTTTCTAATATACTAACTTGATTTATAAACCATTAACTATTAAGTTAAGCAGAAAAATACAGTTGACCCTGAACAACACAGGTTGGAACAATGTGGGTCCATTTATGTGCACTTTTTTTCAATGAATATATTGGAAAAATTTTGGAGACCTGTAACAATCTGAAAAAGAATTCTCAGTCAAGAGAAAAGTAAACGAACATAAAGGTGCAGTATTAAGTCACAACTACATCAAATTGTAGGACATACTGCACAACTATAATAATTTCATAGCCACCTCCCACTGCTATAGCAGTGGGTCCACGTGTTGTGAACATCCACTTTAAAGGCCTATGACTCTAATCACCTTCACATGAGCAGTTCCTCTCTCTAGGAAATTACATATCACAGTAAAAAGTGACCTCTTGAGGTTCTTGCATATTCATTACATTTAACACAATACTATAAAACCCTGAGTAACACCACAGGACCCATTTGAAGTGCCACTATGATGCTGTCAGTGCTCCCCCAAAGCAGAGAAAAGTCATGACATTACCCCCAAAAAAGTTAAGTTTCTCTGGAACCAGTCGTTAGCATAATGGCTATGTCGCTGGACTCCCATGTAGTAGACCGCGGTTCACATACCGGACCCGGTGGCTTAAAACTCACGCCAGGCGCGTGTGCGTGCATGCCCAAGATCCCGAGAGGAGAATGGAGGAGAAAGGATTGCAGCGTGGCCATCCCCCCCCCCGGGGGGGGGTTTTTCGCTTTTTTTTTTTCTTTCTCTGTCTGGCGTCATAGCCACCTCCCACTGCTATAGCAGTGGGTCCACGTGTTGTGAACATCCACTTTAAAGGCCTATGACTCTAATCACCTTCACATGAGCAGTTCCTCTCTCTAGGAAATTACATATCACAGTAAAAAGTGACCTCTTGAGGTTCTTGCATATTCATTACATTTAACACAATACTATAAAACCCTGAGTAACACCACAGGACCCATTTGAAGTGCCACTATGATGCTGTCAGTGCTCCCCCAAAGCAGAGAAAAGTCATGACATTACCCCCAAAAAAGTTAAGTTTCTCTGGAACCAGTCGTTAGCATAATGGCTATGTCGCTGGACTCCCATGTAGTAGACCGCGGTTCACATACCGGACCCGGTGGCTTAAAACTCACGCCAGGCGCGTGTGCGTGCATGCCCAAGATCCCGAGAGGAGAATGGAGGAGAAAGGATTGCAGCGTGGCCATCCCCCCCCCCCGGGGGGTGATTTC